GGGCCCTGCCACGTGGACCTGTTGCACTGAGCGCTGTCTCTGCATGGTTGTATTGCAGGCAAGCCTGGCACTGTGGCTGATCCTGCAGGAGCCCAAGTGCCAGGATGCAGTGAAGAATTATGTCCCCCGCCTGGTCATGGCTCTGCTCTTCCAAGTGTCCATGAGCACAGAGCAGGTGCCAGAGGAGGTCAACACCTTCTGGAGGAGATGCCAGCAGAGTCACTGCCTTCCCAGCCACCCCAACAGGTGCTCCATCCCAGTCCTCTCTCCCTCCCATGCCCTCGGGGCTGGGGCCAGGGCTCCCGGCATGACTTTGGCTTTGCTCTGCACACAGGTTTCTGGTACAGACCCTCAAGGCCCTGCTCTGCCATCTGCAGTGGGAGGATATTTTGATGGCAAGGAAGCGCAGGCTTGCCTGGGACCCACTGGTGAATTCTGACCCCCACCACTCTGCAGTGGGTCTGCATGTCAGGTGAGCCACCCTTGTCCCCGCTGCCCCCATCATCTCTGCCCTGGGCATGGGGCACCCCACACAGCCCCTGTGGGTGATGGCCAGAGGGCCTTGGCCCCAAGGGATGGCTGAGCAGATTGCGAAAGGCTGGGAGAGGCAGGTGCACAGAAGGAGCCACCTGCCAAAGTGCCCACGTCCCATTCTGGACTGCTGGGGAAAGACCAGGCCTGTGTGAGTGAGTGCTGGGAGAGCTTTGCCCACCCTGCTCAGGGTCCATGGTTTTGTCCCTGACAGGGAGATGCGCCACCAGTTGACCCCCTCCCATTCTCCCCTGGCAATCCACCTGCTTGGGATGCTCAGCAGTGTGGACCCCCGTTGGGAGCTGCCTGCCCTGGAGTTCCTTGTCAAGGTGAGCCTGATGGCCAGCGCTGCCTGGCCCGCCTGCCTGCCCCTCTCTGCCCTCTGGCAGCCGCTGCCGGGATGGTGCCTGCGCCCTGTGCTGCTGCCTGGGCACAGCCCTGGGTGGCTCTGGGCTCCTGCCACCCAGGCACCCATCACTGCTCTCTGCCTTCCAGGTCCTCGACTATCTGGATGGGAGAGAATGTCACGGCAGTGTCCAGCAGATCCTGTCAAGGCACCTGCAGAGCCAGTGCCCAGAGAGACGTCGCCTGGCTCTCAGAGGCCGCATGGTGCTCTGGATGGATCTGTCAATGGTGAGAAGGGCACACCCAGCTGTAGCCACACGGGCAGCCTGGGGTGGGCGAACACAGTCCCTTGGCCTTGGCTGGGCTTTGGGAGCTGTGGCTGCTGCTCCCAGCTCTCCTGCCTCCCTGTTCAGCTACAGGGGCCCTGTGGGACAGGCTTTTGGCCTCTGGGCTGTGGGACAGCAGGGTGGGGTTGCACCACCAGGGAGCTGTTGGCAGGGCAGCTGTTCAGGGCGTGACAGCACAGCACCGTGTTTCACACAGGCCGAAAGCATCTGCAGGCTGTCTCAGCACCTCCTGGAGCTGCTGCCTGATGCAGATGGAGACGTGATGGTTGTGACCCTCTCCGTGCTGGTTAACCAACTCTGGGAAGAAGATATTCGGGCGATCCTCTCCACTGCCCCGAAGCTGGCTGAGGCTCTCCGGCCTCTCTTTGAGAATGTAAGGCTCTGTGCCCCCCAGCCACGGGCACTGGGTGCTGCCTGAAGACTTTCTTCCCTGTGGATTTTCAGGCCTGTGCCTGGAGCAGGCAATGCTGAGGTCTTTTTCTCCTCTTTTGCACCCACGGGCAGCTGTCGTCCTTTCGCAAATTCCGCACGGTGATGGAGTCACTGGTGGAAGGGGGAACACGGCCCTTGCTGATGGACGTGCACCAGACCTTAGTGCTGTGGTTCTTCCTGGAGTATGATGAGCAGCAGTGTGTGGCAGAGGTGAGCACTTGTGGTTCACATCTTCTTCCCTGGCTGCAATTTTCATCTGTGCAGTAACTTTTTCCTCCTTCTTCAATATGGTCTCTCAGAAGCTGGGCAACCTGCTCACTCTGAGAGCTCTCCAACTCTCTCCCACTGCCTCTCCAGGTGCCCACCATCGTGAGGGCCATCCACCAGTTCCTCACCGCCCACGGGCCTCCAAATGTCAGGACACACACGAACATCCACAGGCTCGCTGAGGCACACCCGTGTAACGTGGTGCTGACTCTGCTGCGCTGTGCCCCAGAGTGTGACAGGTACAGGGCCCAGCTGCCTGGGTGGCTCCACCATCACCAGCCCTTAGAACCCATCACCGTGTAGAGTCTGTCCCATGTGGTGTGCTGGAGAGATGGAGAGTTCCAGAGCCCTCTGGCCCATCCATTTCCCAGCCCTGGCCTGTCAGCCCCCGATCCTGCTGCCACGTGCCCTCCTTGTCCCTCAAGGCACCGTGGCTCTGTCACCTGGGCTCCCACAGCTGCCCAGACCACAGCTCTGTGCCTGAGATCCCCCTGACCCAGAGTTGTGTCTCCACAGAGCTGCTGCCATGATGTGGAAGAGCATTGCCTCCTCGAGAACAGCAGTGGAGAAGGTGCTGCCGACACTGCTGCGAGTGATGGAGCATTGGCCAGCACACAGCATGTCCACATCAGATGGCGACGACAGAGAAGTGTTTGCTCTGGCTGTGAGTTTCTAAAAGTGGCCTTTGCTCCTCCCCAGGTCACCTCCCCACCACTGCATCCCCCTGCCTCAGGCGCTGGGCTGGAAATGTGGCTGAGGGGCAGGTTCAGGGACACCAGGCCGGCTGCTCTCCCTGGGTCTGCCCTGGCTTCTCCCTCTGACACTCGGGCCCAGCCACATGGACATGTCACACTGAGCGCTGTCTCTGCATGGTTGTATTGCAGGCAAGCCTGGCACTGTGGCTGATCCTGCAGGAGCCCAAGTGCCAGGATGCAGTGATGGATTATGTCCCCCACCTGCTCTGTGCTCTGCTTTTCCAAGTGTCCATGAGCATAGAGCAGGTGCCAGAAGAGGTCAACACCTTCTGGAGGGGATGCCAGGAGCAACATCGCCTTCCCAGCCACCCCAACAGGTGATTCATCCCAGTCCTGTCTCTCTCCCATGCCCTCAGGGCTGGGGCCAGGGCTCTCGGCATGACCTGGGCTTTGCTCTGCACACAGGTTTCTGGTACAGACCCTCAAGGCCCTGCTCTGCCGCCTGCAGTTGGACAATGAGGTGGTGTCAGTGGAGCGCAAGCGTGGCTGGGACACGCTACTCTGTGCTGGCACCCAGCACTATGCAGTGGGGCTGCTGGCCAGGTGAGACACCCTTGTCCCTGCTGCCTCCATCATCTCTGTCCTGGGCACGGCACACCCCACACAGCCTGCTGGGAGAGCTTTGCCCACCCTGCTCAGGGTCCATGGTTCCTTCTTTCCCCGTGACAGGGAGATGCACCACGTCTTG